TCAAAAAGTTCTTAATAGCTTTGCATTATATAAATCAAACGCGCTTTCTGCAAATAACCGAAGAAGAATTGATTATATTAATCTTCCGGAACAACATAAATTGTTAGTTCCAGGCTTTTTGGATCGTTTGAATGAAATAGATAAATCTATATCGATAAATAATCAATTATTAAAGAAAATTTTAGCGGATGGAAATTTATTTGTTAACGAAGAAAATAATAATGTGCGTGTATATAATAAAAAAAAAATAAAAATAAATCTTTTGTTAGTATTTTAGATAATTCTTTTCAAAAAAAAATATAAATTTTTAGGTTTCCCTAATTTTGAAGACGAAATAAAATAAAAATTATTTTTTTAAAAAAAATATCATCGTTTATGGATCAGGATAGCCAAAATTTATCTACTAAAGCTGAGAAAGAAGATGGTGAAGAAGGTGTTGAAGAATCGAATTTACCAATAACAGAATATGATATGGACAGAGTTAGAAGTACGATCAAACAATTTGTTAGGGAATGGGCAGTAGAAGTATGTATATATCAGATATATTTAAATACGTAGCCGTATAAATATAAATATAAATATGTTTTTTTAAATGTCTATAGGGAAAGTCAGAACGAGATGCGGCATATAAACCTATTATAGAAGCTTTACTTGAATTTTATAAAGATGTTCCAATTGAAGAAAGGTGTGATTTTTTTTTAATCATTTATTGATTATTATTCTTTAAAAGAAAAACAATAGAATTTGCTATTTTATAAATAAATCATATAGATCATCCATTACTAATAAAAGTTGTCATTTTTTTTTTTTTTTAAAAAAAAGAAAAAATATTCAAGTGTTAGTTCCGGGCGCTGGATTAGGAAGATTGGCATTTGATATAGTAAACCAAGGTACTAAATTGGTTATTACTTGTACATATGTGTGTTGTGAAATTGATTTATTGATTTATGATTTTGCTTATTGACATAAATAAGGCTTTAGTTCTCAAGGTACTTCATATTTAAATTATTTGATAGAATTTATTAGATTTCAAAATTTATTTATCATTTTAAATTTATATCTATAAATATAGGAAATGAATTTTCATTTTATATGGTAATTTCCATTATCTGTAAATTATCCCAAATACATATCGAACAATTCACTAATTGGCATATACTCAATTAGTTGTTAGCATCACATTTCATATTAAACAGGTAGAAAAGGAAAAGAAATATATATAAAGATCTCCCTCCTAAAAGTATCAATAATAAAAACTTATTTTCTGCTATTTTTTTAGGATAGAGAGAATCAATCAATACGAATTATATCCATTCATCCACTCTTTTTCCAACATTTTGTCATCTAAAGATCAATTAGTGCCTGTTTATATACCAGATGTGCTGCCTAGTAGTATCCCACCTGAATCTGATTTTTCAATGGTGGCAGGAGATTTTACAGAAGTTTACGGTGACAATCAACACATAGGTAGATTAAAAATTCATTGTTAAAATTTTTTTTTGATTTTCATTTTAATTTTATTAAAATAATATTATATATATATATATATGTATGTATATATAAAGGCAAGTGGGATTGTATAGTTACCAGTTTTTTTATAGATACTGCTAAAAACATTATAGAATATATCGAACTCTTTCATCGTATTCTTAAGCCCGGAGGATTATGGATTAATATCGGTAAATGATAATTGTTTAAAAATGGAGATTTGTCAATAAGTAATAATCTTTGTATTGATATTAGGTCCATTATTGTATCATTACGAGAATACACCCGGTGAGATGTCGATTGAGTTGAGTTTAGAAGAGGTTAAAATGGTTGTGAAAAAAACTGGATTTCAATTTCAGGTAAAACTTTTTTAAATGCCAATATTAATTATGTATATGACACGTATTAATTATCATGTATATATATATATATATTCCTTATTTAAACTTCAATATATAAGAGGGAAAACATATTTCAATCAACCTATACAATTAATCCAAATGGAATGTTAAAATATTTATACGATTGTGCATTTTGGACATGTGTAAAACAATAATAAAAAATATTTTTATTATTTTATTATTTTATTATTTTATTTTTTTATTGTTTTATTATTTTATTATTTTATTATTTTATTATTAAATTTTAAATTTTGAATTTTTGAATTTTTTAAAAAAAAAGTTCTATATTACTACTCTAATTAATTATTATTATTATTATAATACAAAAAAAGTAACTCATAATGTCCCACTTATTTAAGCAATTTACAAAAAAAAAAAATAAGAATACAAACACACTCCCTCTCTTATATAGGCCCGCCATCTCCACCTTTTCCCAACCCAGTTGATACTTTATTTTGCACTATATAAATATATAAATGTTAAACTTGTGAAAAATATATATATATATAAATTAAATATTTTTTTTTAAAAGAAAAAGAACTTACCATAATCAATTGTAGTCTGATAATCACCAATAGCAACCAATATAGTTGAAGAAATATCGGTAAACAAGTCACCTTTAATCGATTCAAACAAGCTTTTCAAAGCAGCGGGAGTAATTTTCAACTTCAATTCAAAATCTTTTGTGGTGACGGATTGTTTTGGCTTAATGACCACAGGAGCACTTGTTAAATCTTCATCGATAGTTCCAATCAAATTGCCCTCCGATGTGATTGTTGATTGGATCTTTAAAAATTTGATAGTGGTGTCTAATGGATTGAATGCATCTATCGAGGCAGTACCTTTCGAATCAAATATTGTGTTAAGACCAATGGCAAATCTAGCTTTAAGTATGACATTTTTATCCGATTTTAATCCAGGCATGGAAGTTTCAAGTTCAAGACTAGCCAATGCTTTTTTCAATGACGAGATTTTTGTTGATTCCAAAGTACCTTTTATTCCTAAATCATTCGGTTTACCGGCCATAAAATTGTTTAATAAGTCTCTACCAACTTTCAATGCATCGTCAGTTTTTGGTGCAAATTGTGCAACAACATTTCCGGTGTTTTCACCACGGTCTAAAACATAATTTTTCATAAGAACTTTTCCAAGTTGTTTCTCCTTAAAATACAAATCGAAATTAATATCACCCATGTTGATTTTTACATTTGATGGATTAAATAGTGTGACTGAAAGGTCAATCAACATCATGTCAGTGGTACCACCTACAACTTTCAATGAATTGACTAAAGCTGTCTTTGTTTTGAGACCTTGAAGCCCATCTAAAGATGAATTGACAGAAAATTTGATCCCTTTAATTTCTACATCGCCCACAGGGGTACTTGCAATTGAATTCGCGACACCTTTCATTACCAAATCAACTTTCGGGTCTGTGGTCAATTTCTTACTAAAATTATCAAAAGCATTTTCAGAGCCACTTGTTACTTGGAATGGAGTAGGAGCAAAACTTGATTTGATTATCCCTGTTGTTGTATCGCCTGATGCATCAGTGTAAGGAGTTGAGAGTTTGGCTAGATTAGTAGCGCCATCAAACATTGTAATATCTTGAGAAATTTTTTTCATCGACAACGGGAAACCAAAAGGTATGCTAAATGAGGCAGTTAAAGAAGGTGAAGCAGCCATTGGTATGTATGGATTATCTGTAAGAAAGTCTAGATCCAAGGTATTTATGGTGACACCAGTAATAACTGAGAGATTTTGTGGTCCAGCTAATACTACGGACAACCTTGTACCCAAAAATGCGGATTGTAACCAAGAAACAGGTTCTGTGTTGTTATCAGGCTTTACCAATTTTGCAACAACATCGGTAGTGGCATTTTGACCGGCAATGAATTTTGAAAACAAATCGCTAACAGCAGCTAATGAACCAGTGGTATTCTGAGGAATAAGTCTACCGTTCAAATTTAATTTATTGTCGCCCTGGAGTAAGGTAATGTTTGTAGCAGAAACTTCTCCGATCGTATGATTAAGATATTGAATGTCAAAAGTAAGGTCGCCTAATTGAACACTAATAGGAGAAGGATTTCCCATGGTAGAAACTATTTGAACAACAATACCGCCCTGAGGATCTTCAGAAGGTGCATTGAAACTATCAATTGTAACAGATGGAAAATTTTGCATTCCTATATATTTGATATCATTAATATAATAGATTAATATATATAATATAAAGGTAAATTAAACGCACACACACCAAAAAAAAAAAAAGCCAACACATACCACCCATGGTTATATCTTTGGACAAAATAATATTTTGAAGATTCAAGCCGGCTGCCTTTACGGATGCAACACCTTCCAAATGCCATGTGAATTCTTTTTCAGTCAACATGAATTTATTGAATTGACTGAATGCAGTCTTATTTGATATTTTAAAAGTTTGAGTTGATTCAATTCGAGCACCAACAAAAGGAGCAGCTGAAATGGTATCAAGTGGCATATTACCAATCAGAAGATTTTCCCAAGATACTGATACGCCACCAGGAACTTCAATAGTAGCAGCCAATGGGCCGGTATTTGTAACTAATATATACAGTGTGTGGTGTAAATTATAAAGTGTTAGAACAATCATCAAATTTTTTTTAAAAGAAAAAAAAAAGAACAATACTATGTATTTATGATTTACCTTCACCAGATACTTTCATAAGGAAACTATCTTCAGTAAGATTTGTTAGGCTAACAGTTGAAAAAGCCAACTTTGAACCAGTGACGGCACCTTGAGCAATAGACGGAGCAATTACAAATATGGCAAGCAATATGAATATTATGGAAAGTAAGATGGTTACACCGCAACATATGAAACAGCAGGCTTTACGTCTATTACGAACATTACGAAAATTACGAAAGAACCTTTTTTTTCTTGTAGAATTTTCATCACTATCACTATCATCATCATTATTATTGTTTATATTATTTAATTGTTGACTTTCTGAATCGAGAGCACGTGAATTGTAAGGTGTATTTTCATTATTGGTTACAGGAGAGTTTCTTTCTTCGTTTTGGAAGTTATATAGTCTATCGTTACTTCCAGCAGAAATGGTGCTTCCACTACCATTAACATTATTCGAATTTCGATATGGATTATAACTCATTTGAGGAATAGAAAAACTATTATTATTGTTATTATTGTTATTGATGATGTTGTTATTGTTATTGTTATTGTTAAATATTGGCTCTGGATTTCTTGGATGTTGCGAAAAAATTGGTGAAGGAATGAATGACGAATTATTGTTGATTAATTGGTGTTCTACACCATTTTGAGCCATTTTTTAGTTTAGCTTGATATTAATGACGATGATGATGATAGTGATGTTGATGACAATGATGGTGTTGATTAATAATAACGATTAATCAATAATCAGTAATATTAATAAAAAAAAGAATGTTTGGATTAAAAAAATATATAATAATATCTCTGTTAATGAACAGTGATATTATTATATACTTTTTTTTTTTAACAAAAAAGAGAAATTTAAAAATGTAAAAATTTTTTTCCTTCAAAAATTTAGATTTTATATTTTATCCATAATTGGATTTTAAGGCAATTTGTATATTAAATAACTCGCATGTGATAAACCTGCACAATATATATATATATAATTTTTTATTGTTATAAATAAACGAGAAACAAAATAATGAACGAGCGTTGTACGGTTTATTTATATTGTATCATTCATTACACAAAAAAATTTTAACATTAACGCCCAATATAGTTAAAAGAATTATTTATTATTTACCAATAATCATGTAAATGATCTCAAATGACTTCTCGACCGAGAGGCATTTTAGATTCTTAAATTAGGTGAAAAACTAGAATTTAAAAATTTATTATTATTGTATTAGTATTTGGCGAAACCTTGTTTCATACGAATTATAATTAAATTCTTGTTTCTTTTGTTACACATAAAAATTCGTTGAAACACGATTAGTAATCTTGTTTCAACGACTTTGTTGTAACAAGGTTATATTATATATCTGGTGATATTCGAACCCGAATCTCACACAAATAGTAGTCAATTTAAACAGCATTGTTTTTAAAGAATTTATTTAAAATAATAATAAAATTTAATGATTTTTAATATTGCTTTTAAAGAATTTAAAAAATCGACATATTGGTCTTTTCAAAGATGGTCGGTCACACTAGTGATGTTAGCCGGCTAAGAAATTTTTAAACGGCTAAGCCGGCTTGAGCCAATCAAATTCTATTCTCAAAAATAATAAAAAATATTCATTCATAATTGGGGTGTGCGACATTCTAAGAAAATCAAAACTAATTAATGTCATATATTGATTGGTTATATGTGATTTTTTTTTGTGATCTGCATATCACCTACAGAATTTCTGAAATTTATCTAAAAAACATTGTTTTCAAAACACTACTCCTCCTCCATTTTCAAAGATATAGGCATTAAATTTCCATGAAAGGTAGTATATAACATTATACTTTAGAGCAATGGAAAGATTTAATGGATTAAAAATACTAGTGGCATAAAAAACTCATTTGAAATACAGAAAATTTCTTTCTTTATCATTATACTTCTATCTATTGCAACTTCTGAAAAAATTGTATGAAATAAAGATTCTCTCTCCATAGCACTGTTCTACAAATGTATCCTGATTAAAAACCTCTAATAATTTTATAAATGTAACGATTTTCCAGAAGCCTTAGCGATTGAAAGTTCATAATATTAATAAAACACTAATAACGTAATAACGTATTTGTTGCACTGTTTTTCTCTTTAGAGAAAAAAGGGGTACCATAAAAAATCCGCATATATGGATTTACATTATGACATTAATTAGATTTGTTAATCAACTTATATATATATATCGAATACCCCATTAAACTATATCATAACCGTGAGAAAAATGGGTCAGGTTACACGATCAAAATCATAGTGGGCTTCACGATAAATGCGTACTACCAGAAAATTTTGTTGAAAATATGGAAAAAATTATTAAAAAAAATCAAGACACTTTAAAATATAAATCACCATCTGGTCATGGTGAAATAATAATTAAAATGCCTTCTGGAACCAGTACTAAACCATCTTTTTCCACACTGCAAGCATCTTATCCATTGAAATTTCTTTCACCTAAAACATATACACCATATCTTGCTGCCATATACATTCTAACTTATGGCGGTGGAATGGTATCTGGTGATAAAATCTTTATTAATATTGAATGTCATGAAAATGTCAACCTAATGCTTTTAACTCAAGGTTCAACTAAAATTTATAAAAAACGACAGATATCAGATCAATTTAACAACAATAATGATAATGGGTTGGAAACAACACAGAACCTAAATGTTATTGTGCAGAAAAATTCTTTTGTACTTCAATTACCAGAACCAACAACATGCTTTTATGATTCAGAATTTGTTCAACATCAAAAATACTCATTAGAGAATCATACATCATCTGTAATTATTCTGGATTGGTTTACTAGTGGTAGAATGTCTCGTGGTGAACGTTGGGAATTTCTAAAATATGAGTCTGGCATTGACTTGTTTGTTAATAACAAATTAATATTCAGAGATGTTGTTTTATTAAAACGGAAATTTGATGATTATATTTCAAGATCTTCCACACCTAAAGAAGATAGTACTAATAAAAATAAAATTAACAGCAACAACAATAGAAATAGTATTAAGGAATGTTTAGAACCTTATAATTGTTTTGCCACATTAGTATTGTATGGACCAAAAGTTACTTTATTAATAAATAATATTGTAGAAGAATTTGATAAAATAGTTGTTGGCAAGGCAAGTAAAATGCCTGATTTGATATGGTCATCTTCTGGATTAGACACAAAACAACATAATGATGGTGAGATCTCTGATTTGAAAGGATTAGTGCTAAAGGTTGCTGGTGTGACTACTGAGATTGTGAAGAATTTTTTGATCGAAGTAGCATTAAAAGATTTAGATGAATTGGTTGGTGATAATTTATTTAAAAGAGCTCTATAATAGTAGTACATTATTAATTATTTAAGGGAGCATTATTTAAAATATATGTGTAATGCATTTCATATTAACATCAAAAAAATTTATTTCCACCACCACCATAAATGTCAACATCATGTCTGACATAATTTATGACAGCTTTAAACCCTTCAAATCAATGTACACATGGTTACCTTTTGCTCTTTTTTGTAGAGTCATTCCAGGATCCTTTTGATTTTTTTTTATTATTGGGACTAGTTTTATGCAACATCCATTCCTTTCTGCTTGTACCAATCATGCAATCTTCACTTCTGAGAAAATGGTACCCTATTTATTTATAATTATTAACTCAAATACAGAAACATAAATAGATACATGCAATCTAATAAGTCCGGGATATATAAACCAAGAGTCAATTGCTGAAATCACAAATTTTTAAAAAAAATTTAATCAGTCAGGGAATATTTGTAGATAAAAATTAGTGGTCTGATTATAATCTTTAATTATAAATTAAGACTTTATTTACCCAAAACAAATAAATTAATATATAGAGGGGTTTTTTTTATCATTTTATCATTACAAATTTTTTATTCTTTTATTTTAAAATTAATTTATAATATTAATGTTATTTAGATTAAAAAGATTCAATTTATTTAATTAGTGCTCCCATAAGTAAATAAAACTAAATTTTATCCAAGAATATAAAATGCCAATACTTGTATAAATTGAAGTTATCATTAAAGATAAAAATGGGTATTTTTGAAAAAATAAGAATTTGGATAAATTTAAAATTAATTGCAATACAAAAAATCCATATAAATAAATATTTTCAATATAATATAATAATTTTGAATTTAAAAATAATTTATTATTATTATAACCACTAAATAAATAAAATAAAATAATAATAATTAATTAATTGTTTGTTTGATAATTTAATTAATTATTAATTTAAATATTACTTGCCATTTTGATAATAAACCAAAAAAATGTTAAAATAATCCATAAAATACAGATTGAATATTTAATTGTTGATTCTTAAATGAATTTATAAATTAATATTTTTAAAAAAATTTTTGGAGTCTAAATTCAAATATAAATTTATTAAATATCACATTTACCTGTTGCTTTGAAAAGTAGAGGAAGTAAAGAAATCAATCCAGAAGTAGAAAGTATCATAAATGTACGTAATAAATGATAATTTTCACTAACAATTAAACTATTATTTCCATCAATTTAAAAAAATAATTACATATATTACTTATTAAATATTTTCTTTCAAAATTCTTTTGTAATTTTACCTAAAAGGAATTAAAACCAACAAAACAGCCTTTTCATGTACATGCCAACCAAACAAAAATGAACTATAACCACAAGAAATCAAAGATTTAAGGAAATTCATGTATGTTGGGAACTTCCATAATTTTATTAATGAAAACTATATGATAAATAATATATAAAAATATGATTAATTTATTGTAAGATTATTGTGAAAATAATAATAATAGTAATCATAATAATAATAACCATTATTTAAATTACTTACTAATTGAAACATTAAAGTAATAATAAAAGTATAAATAGGTTTAATAGTTGGTAAAATTGCAAAATCAACATCACCAACCAAACCTCTTGTGACTGAATCAACTGCAGCTTCATTTAATTCCAATCCCAATTGTTTGCCAGCTACAAATAAAATCAATAAACTAATTTATTTATAACTTATATGTATATATAATATTTTGTTAATAATCCTACCGACTATTAAAACTCGATCTAAAGCTGAATATAAAGCCCAAAAATTTGGAGCCCAATAAGCATGACAAAGTCCTCTTTTAAATGGGAATAATCGACCAAGCACTTGACCAATTTGGTTTAGATACATGAATGGACCAAAAGATATTAAAAATATTATAATTACAGATGCACCAAGGATTAAAAAATTCTTTATGGAAAAATTCTTAGATTCTATAATTATGAAAAGATAAATAAAAAATAATATTAATAAATAAATCTTTTTTTTTTTTTTAAAAAAGATTTTCTATTCAAATTATATCTTCTCACCTTTAATATCAGTTGTATTTTTGAAACAATAATTTCTCAAAAGATAAATAAAATATGCTGGTGAAAGATAAAGAAATATATGTTTGAAATTCAACAAAATAGCAAATGTTATCCCACATAATAAATCATTGCCCTCAAATAAAATAAAAATTTTAAATAAATTATATTAAAAATGATGAAACATTAATATTTTTTTAACAATAAAAATTTATTGTAATTATTTACCTCTTTAGCATATGATATTGATAATAATAAAATTCCATAAAGAAATCCATTATATTGAAAATGAATGTGTTTATTTCAAAAGTTAAAGAAATCAATATAATATAAAATAATTATATTGATTAGTAATATTGATTGAAATAATTTCTGATTTTAAAAATCACAATTAAGGATATGATCAACCATCAAGAATCCAGGATTCAAAAATATTGAAATCGCAATTATATTTAATAAATCCTTTTTATTTTCTTCTTTTGAAATATTTATATATCTGATTATAATTACACAATATTTATCATTATTCCAATGATTCAAATTTTCCAATTATTATAGGATAAAACTTACTTTATCAACGCGTAATATAAAATCAATTCACTTAGAATTACTGTTGTTCGTTGAAAATAAATGGTTTCTTGACTTGAATAATTTGAATTTTCGACTTTAACCATCTCATCATCATAAAATGTTGCAAATTTTGATAAAACCCATTCAAACCATGCGAAAAATGGCGGATAATCTAATGTCCATTCACTTGTATCCTTTATTATAATAAATAATATTTATGATTTATATACATTTATTGATTTTAAGCAACTATCAAATATATTGTCATTGTCATTGTTATTATCATTATCTGATTATTTTTACCTCATAATACCATTTGGATATGGGAAGACTGTGTGTTATTGCCAACCAATTTCTATGTACTTCAAAATCGGTTGACCGACTTTTTATATTAAAAGAAAATAAATTTTAATTATTTAATATATTAAAAAAATTAAAAACTATATTAATTATACTTACTATGTTGGGAAAAGTAATAATTTAATAAAAGTACTGAATATTAAAATATCTTTTTGCATTTTTAATTCTTTTAATTAATAAGTGTGTCCAGAAATATATATGCATTTTTAAAGGATGTATTTTCACGTGATTTTAACCATATTTAGAAAGATTTACATGATGTTCAGAGCTTGCCTCTCTAAATACTATGGCTTTGTGATACTGATTGATACCTAATGCCTCACCCAATATGATATGATGATTTACACATCTAAATATTTTTTATCCAATTTTTTTAAAAATAAGAAAAGTAATATTTTAATTTGTCAGAGATCATTATTTATCAATAATAACAATTCATCACTGCCACTAATTTCACAACATTTTTGTTTAAAGAAGTCATTTAACTATAAAAAATCATCATGTAAATCACCATTGAAATTAAATTATGTTCATAAAATTTATAATTCTACACCATCATCAAATAATTCATCATTACTTGTAAAAGAAAAACCAATATCTAAAAAATTTTATGAAATAATTAACAGTATAAAAGTTGGTGATGGTAAAGAAGTATTAACTTCTGCAACAAAAGTGTTAAACGATTTTACAGGATATTCTGTTGTAGAAGACTTAAAGAAAAAGGTTATTCAACAAGGTAAAATAAATAGATGAAATCTATATATATATATATATATATGTATATGTATATGTATATGTATGCATACAATGTGATAATTATTGAGATATTGCAAATTTTTAATTTTGTGAATAATTATTTTTATTTTTTTACTTGACAGAGAATAAATTGGCAGAAGCACGAAAACAACTTGAAGATGCAAAACTTTCATATGAGAACGCCATATCTATAAGATCAAATACACAACGTGAAGTTAGTGAATTATTACAACGTAAACATTTATGGACAAATGATGATGTGATCAGATTTACAGAATTGTATCGTAATGAACATTTAAATGAACAAAAAGAGGTGGCAGCCAAAGATGAATTTCATAAATGTGAAAAAATGGTTGAGACAGGTTACACCGAATTGACTAGGATGATGATGATGAGGTATCATGAAGAACAAGTTTGGAGTGACAAGATTCGTAGTGCATCTACATATGGTACAATTTCCTTGATATTGCTTAATTTTATATTGTTTATTTGTGTACAAACTGTTTTTGAACCAAGGAAAAGACAAAAATTGGCTGATAAATATTAATTAAAATGTTGAAACATTTAACGGTGGCTTTAATTATTTAAATATAAGTTTATTTATTATTATATAAATCAAAGGGGCAGAAGGAACGTATGTAATTCATAGTCAGCTTAGGCTTTTTTTTATTGGTCCGACATCTTTTCTTTCTTTTATTATAAATAGAACTTCCATCCGTTAAAAAAAAAATTTGGCAGCGCTTAACTTAACTTAACATAAATGATGACGTTGACGTTGACGTTGATGTTAACGTTAACGTTAACTTTAATTTAATTTTACTCTATACACGACGCAATCATTTTTGTAACACTTGAAATTTCCTTTTTTTTTGAAAAATTCCTTTTTTAAAAAATGACCAAAAATCTCCTTTTTAAAGCTAAATACGTTGCACTAAATTAAATTCGTCATATTCTTTCGTTAAATTAAATTAATTAACTTACGGTTACATCTCGGTTTAAAAAGCTCGTTAAATCATCATCATAGTAAAATTTTTGCACCGCCAGAATTGCAGAATTTGCATTTTTAAAACGTATAACCAAAATAAGCTCATAAATTTTTTCGTGATTTTCAATATGGTCGTCAAGACTTAAACCAAATATATAAAGACGAATATTGTGTTTAAGGGAATAAATTCTTTTGTTCATATAATATCGTCGTTGATTTTGCTAGAAAATCAACTATTGATAACTCTTAAATCCTCAGATATCTTTCTTTTAAAAGAAGACAATCAGCAGGTTCATCTGCTCCATTAAGACGACGGACTCTAAATAATATTGATCTGGTTCGTGCATTTACTCAGGCAGACATCCCTCTAGAGGATATACATTAAAACCTATTTTCTTTAAATATTATACAAATCTCGAATATTTTCTAATTTACAATAATGAAATTAGAAAATTAAAAGAAAATTTAATTAATCAAAGAATAAGTATTGCACTAGATGTATCAACCGATGCTGTGAATGTGTTGTTTGTCAATATTTTAGTTTTGTGAACTTACTAATTGGCTGCAACAAATGCTTTAAGATATATTTCTCAATTGAGATTTTACAAACACGATAAACTTTTTAATGTGTGGAATTTACATGCACAAAAAATAAATCTATATAATACGTTAAATAAAAATGTCTGTACAATGTGCTTAAATAATAATAATAATAACGATAATAGAATAAAATAAATAAAAAATTTATTCAACAACACCATCATTAATTAATACCACCAACACTATCGTTAATATTATGACCATATTGGTACTCCGCCTACAATTTCTTTTGGTTTGATAACTTGGCCAATAAGCGCTTGAGAAATTAGGTCATGTTCTTCTTGAATATGTTGCTTTTTATTACCTGTAGCTGGTGAAGCTGAAGGTGGTCTTGTTGCTGGAACAGCAGCTTTACCTAATTAATTGATTAATTAATTTAATTACAAAATTTTTTTGTTCATTATTAGAAAAATCACACAATGTACACATACAATTATTATTACCTTCTTGCTCAGAATGATTCATAAGAGTTCTTATTCTAGGTGCAACATAACTCCAAGCACCTGTATTCAATGGTTCTTCTTGAGCCCAAACAAGTTGAGCATTTGGATACTTGTCAACATGTTGTGACAATAAATCATACGGGAATGGGGATATTTGCTCAAGTCTTGATATGGCAACATGATCCATTTTGTTTTGATCCCGTGCTTTAAGCAATGTATAGTATACTTGTCCTGAACAAAAAACATGTCTTGTTATCTTTTCAGGTGAAGCAAGTGTCTCAGGATGTGGATCAGGTATATATCTGCTGAAACGGGTTTCACCAGTCATTTCTGCTAGCGTTGAACGTGCCATTGGATGTCGAAGAAGACTTTTCGACGCAAATACTATGAGCTAAAGATATAAGATAATATAATATTAATTGACAATTAACAATTTTGGTATAATTTTTTCCTTTGAAAAAATCCAAAATCAAATAATATACATACAGGTTTTCTGAAATCACGATGTATTTGTCTTCTTAAAACATGAAAGTAATTTGCAGGAGTAGTGCAGTACACCACTTGCATATTACAATCTTGATGTTGGCGAGCCATTTTTTCAGGGCATGGATAAACATAAGGATGATCATCACAAAGCTGCAAGAAACGTTCAAGACGTCCGCTTGAATGTTCTGGTCCTTGGCCATCATAACCATGTGGTAATAAAATTACCAAACCAGTCCGTTGAAGCCATTTTTTTTCACCAGAAGCAATAAACTGATCAATAATACATTGTGCATTATTTGCAAAATCACCAAATTGTGCTTCCCATAACACAAGTGATTGGGGATTAACAAGTGAATAACCAAGCTCAAATCCTAAAGTACCAAATTCAGATAAAGAAGAATTGCAAACAGTAAAAGATGCCTGACCAGGTCCAAGGTCGTTCAATGGAACATATTGTGTTTCATTCTCTTGATCATGAAGCACAGCATGTCGTTGTGAGAAAGTGCCACGTTCCACATCTTGACCTGATAGACGTATATGCCTATTTTCAACCAACAATGATCCAAATGCAAGTGCTTCAGCTGTTGGCCAATCTATATTTTTCTCTTCTTTGATTGATTTAGAACGAGCATTAAGTATTCTAATTAGACCTGAGTGCACATTGAATGCTTTTGGATATGAACTAATCTTATCACCAACATGATGAAGAGCCTCAAGAGGTGAACCTGTTGGATAAACTGGTGTTATTTCTTCGGCAAGCTCTTTTGGTGATTTAAACCCTTTTTTTTTTTTTTTTTTTTGTTGAATAGAGGAAGAAAAAGTCATTTATAAATAAATAGATTGAATTTTATATTAATAAATAAATTAAAAAATTTTTTTTTACCATTCCAAGAACTTGAAAGCCATTCACGGCCAGAAGGTTTATAGTCTTTACTTTCAGTATAACTTTCTTCCAAAGTGTCCCAAACCCATTTTTTATGTTTTTGAATATCAGCAAATGAAAAAGTTCCTTCATCAAGAAGTTTATGAACATATTGATCAAGTGTAGGAGTTTGTTTAGCAATTTGTTTGTACATTCTAGGTTGTGTAAACATGGGTTGATCAACTTCATTGTGACCATATTTACGATAACAAACTATATCAATAACCACATCTTTCTTGAATGTTTGTCTCCATTCTGCAGCCAATTGACAAACAAAAGTCACAGCCTCCGCATCATCACCATTCACATGAAATATGGGAGCATTTACCACCTTTGCAATATCAGTACAGTAAGGAGTGGAACGTGCAAATCTAGGATCAGTAGTAAAACCAATTTGATTGTTGACAACAATATGAATAGTGCCACCGGTTGTATAATTTGGTAAGTCATGAAAGCCTATTGTCTCATAGACAACACCTTGAGCAGCAAAGGCAGCATCACCATGTAACAATAAAGCCATTGAATGAAGTCTTTCCTTTTCATCATTCATATAAAATTGCAATGCACGAGTTTTACCAAGTACAACTGGATCTACTGCTTCCAAATGAGATGGGTTGGCCACCAATGAAAGGTTTACACGTTTACCAGATGGAGTAGGTCTATCATAATTCATTCCTAAATGGTATTTGACATCACCAGATCCTTCCTCAGATGGTTCAAGTGAACCACTGAATTCACAAAATATAGATTGGTTTGGTTTACGAACCACATTACTAAGTACATTAAGCCTACCACGATGTGGCATTCCAAGAACAATTGATTCTATTCCTAAATCAACAGATCTATCAATCTAATTATTTTTTTTGTGTATTAATGTATTGCAGATATTTTAAATAATTACAAAATGATGTAACAACAACAGCAACAATAACAATAATGACAACATACCAAAGCCTTCATACCAGGAATCAAACTTTCACAACCCTCCAAACCAAATCTTTTTTCATTGGGATATTTTGTGGCAACAAATCTTTCAAATGAATCAGACCATATCAAACGATCCAAAATTCTTCGTTTTTCTTCAATTGAATAATTATATGGTTTTGGAATTTCAACTCTTTCACGTATCCAATCGCATTGAACTCTATCAGGAATATGTATATATTCAATACCAATATGACCACCTTCATTATACATTTTAAAAATTATTATTATTTGCTTCTATACACACAGGAGGGGGGGGGGAGAAAAGAAAAAAACCACTTACAATAAATTTCTTTGCAAATATCTATAATCTCACGAAGTGTTTTTTTGCCAGTTTCAGAAAATCCAGGCAAGATACCAGCACCAAGAAAAAAACCTCTATCAAGATCAGCATCCGAAAAACCATAATGTTTAGGATCAAGTTCTTTTGGAATGGAATCACTTAAATCTGGATTTAGAATGCCCAAAGGATCCAGCTTTGCAATATGATGACCACGAACTTGGTAAGCTCTTACTAACAGTTGTACTTTCATATGATCATTAACATCATAAGCTCCATAAGTTTCAATATCTGGTGATAAAGTGGTGCTCATTCCGGTCAAGGGAACAATAGTAGGAGGAGGTTGATAAGCCATTCCTGAGCTCATGCCAGATTTGATATTTTTGAAGTATATTTGCCAGGATAAATGAACTGATCTTGGATCTTTGAGCCAAGCTTCATACATCTCTTCAATATACGAGGCTGTGTTTCCTTGAAGAAAAGCATCGTTAGGGGATGGAGGAGTTTGTGGATTTACAGCAGAAACTTTGTTACGAATTTGAGTTGTAAGAGAAGGAAGTTGATTATATTTATTTTTGAACAATAAGTTATTACTATTGATGATATGACTTGACCTTGATGTTATAGTAGTTTTAGAACGCAATAATTGAAAGGTTGAACGGGTAGTTCTAGACAAAACCGAGGTAACAAGCATTTTTTTTTATTTGATTAAAAAAATTTTTTTATCATTTCTTGGGGGTTGTCTTACCGAAAGACTGGAATTCATGTAGTAGTGTATTAATATGTTACTGATCACCAAAAAATTTTTATATGGGGCATGCTTGCAACAAAATCAAAGAATTTCAGGGATCAATAGTGTTTGTTTAACATCACAATTGTATTACCTTGTCTAGACAAAAATAGTTAATATAAAACTCATTTACATCAGATCTGGGCAAAAAACCTGCACGAAAGTCGCACGACTTGCGGGTTTTGGAAGGAGATCATGACACTGCAAGTGTTCAATATTTTTTTGTGTTAAATTAGTTCATAATAATAATAATGGGCAATTCAAATTCAAAAACGACACTTCCAACTTATCCAAATTTATTAATTGAAAATTTTCCAAAAGATAATGGTGAATCAATAACTTTAAGTGATGATCGTAAATTAGGTTATATGGAATATAATTTTAAACATTATTATGACGAAAAATTGATCAATCCAAAAGAAAAAGAACATGTTATATTGTTAATACCAGGTTTACCAGGTTCAAGATTTTTTTGCCATCCTTATGTTTTAGCTAGTTGTTTAGAAAACTATGAATATTTTCCCACGCCCTCCTCTAACAATAATCCAAACAATGACAATAATAGTAATAGTAATAAAATCCATCTAGAATATCGTCAGCCATCATCATCAAATGCACCTTTTGTAACAATTAAATTATATGTATTGGAAAGACCTGGAATTGGTTTATCAACTTTTGCTAATAGAAATTTTTTAGATTTTACCGAAGATATTAAAGAGTTTTGTTTAAAAAAAAAAATCAATCATTGTTCAATGATTGCATATTCTGCGGGCGGTCCTTATGGTTTGGCTGCTGCTCACGAATTGGGCGTTGTTAACAACAAGGATAAAAATCCTTCAGAACTTCCTCTAATCAAAAAGTTAGCAACAATTAGTTCAACAGCACCTTATTCAGCTCCTAATATTACTACATCGATGCCATGGAAACTTAAAATTGCTTG